TTCTGTGTCTCCCTCTCTCTCTGCCCCTCCCCCGCTCGTTCTCCGTCTGTCTCTCTCTCCAAAATAAACATTAAAAAAAAATGGCATTTTGCCCTTGTCATTTTTCTATTAAGTCCACCTTATCCTCTTACCTGTATGTTACAAATACCCTCCTATTTTCTTCTGATTCTGTGCTTGCTACCGTTGGTATATTTTTGCTTTGTTTTTATAGTTAACGCGAATGCATCCAGAATTTGGTGGGAGGTGGGGTGCACAGACAGAGCCTGGCGTAAGTTACAAATCCAACTTAGGCCTCCGTACCAATAAATTGTGCGCACGGCATTTAACTAATCATTCCTATATCTGCTATTTGGCTATTAGGTTTGTCGTGGATTAAGTCATCACCGGGTTTTACGTCTCTTCTAGAATCGTTCCCATCCAGTGGATCAGTTCTCCGTTGTAGAGCCAATTACGTAGGATCTTGCTTATCACAGCCGTATAACCACCCCTTGACATTTGTAGGGAATAAAGAAAAAAAGATTCAGGATTCTATTTTGTGGGTAAGAAGAACCATTAGCAATTTTCAACCATAACAAAGCAGACTTCCTATATTTGGAGTTAATCAGAGGGAGGTGTGTGAAATGTAGAAGGTAGAGCAGACCTGGAGGTCAGGAGCCTGGGCGGCAGCCTTAGACGATAAGGCCTAAACGCAGGCAGGGACGACGGAAAAAAGATGCAAAGCTACATTTATACAATCAGAATAAGGTGGCTCTACAGAATCTTCTGAAGCATGTACTCACAAATATTCACTCTACAAATGAGGAACCTGAGGGCCAGAGAAGTGAAGTCACTTGCTCAGGACCACACAGTGAGTTAGGGCAGAGCTAGGAACACAGCCGGGGTGTAGAACATGCAACTCTTAATCCCAGGGTCATGAGTTCAAGCCCCACATTGGGCATGGAGCCTACTTTAAGGAAAGAAGAAGAAGAAGAAGAAGAAGAAGAAGAAGAAGAAGAAGAAAGGAAGAAATCCTACTAACAGTGGCTTGAGTAAGGAGTTTCTTTTTCTCTTGTAGGAAAAATCCAGAGAAACATACAGAATCCAGGGCTCATGCAGCTACTTAGGTTATCACAGACCCCTCTATCCTCCTACTCTGCTGTCCACTGCTTGTGGGGTTCATCCTCATGGTCCCAAGATGGCTGCTGCACCTCCAGGCACAGTATCTGTATTCCAGGCAGGGAAAAAAAAAAAAAAA